TTTTGGGTATCTGTACTTTACTTGAGTAATTATTTTTCAGCCGACTTTTTACTTTTACTTCTTATATTTTTACAGTTATCTGTACTTTCTATTCCTTACATTTTGTAAAAAGTTAAGAAGTAGAAAGTCATTTGTTTCAGCTTTTTGTTAAAAATACTATCCTATAAACTGTGCATCCAGGATATAGTGAATTTAATTGTGGTTGGATGAGAAGTATAAATATATACCCTTCTGATACTGTATTAATTTGTACACAATCCATCACAGCTGCATGTTTTTAGAAAAAAAAATATATTTTTTGGTGGTCATCTCCCAATAAATGTATTTTGGAAAATCTAACCAATACTTTTAATAGTAGATTTTATGTCAGAAATTTACTGTTAATACTTAAGTACAAAAAAAACTGATACTTTAAGACTTTTACTCAAGTAATTATTTAGAGGAGACTAACTTTTACCAAAGTAATTTTATGATAAGATACTTGTACTTTTACTCAAGTATCACTTTGAGGTACTTTATACAACACTGTTTGCTGTTGTGCATTGTGGTCTGGTCTAAGAAAAGACTCACCTGTCCAGTCTTCATCCAAGTGTCCTGTTATGAAGTGTGATCTGTTAGCTGAGGCCCGCAGAGTCTGAGCTGGAGCTCTTTTTTCCGAGTACAGTCTGACCTTCCGGGTGAATCTGCTTGAATGTCCACTCCCAGACTGGCAGCTGTCTTCAGTGTTCTTTAAGTGGAAGAAGAGTCTCCAAATTGTTTGTAAATGACCTTTAACTGTTCTCCAGATGAATGTTGCTTCTTCAAGCTCGTCACTGTCCTGGTGTCGCGTTAACACACCTGAATATCACAAAACCAAAGGTGTCAAACTCGTTTTCACCGACGGCCACATGAGCATTATGGTTGTAAATAACTTTGATGTTTCAAATTTAACTTTAAACAGGAAACATCACCTTCCTGAACAGTGCTACCAAACACTAACTGAGCTCTACCTGGTATTTCCTGCATAGAAACAGTGTTTTAACACGTCTTCTTATAAACACTGAAAAGTACTACGTGTACGACTGATTAATGTAAAAAAAAAAAAACAGAAACACTATAAAAGTAAAAGTTTCATTCAGAGTTGTGGTGAGAAGCTGCCATCTGGAAATCTGAACTCTCCCACTTTCCAACAGGAAACTCCCTCTGTTTCCAGTTTAAATTTACAACTTCTAAGCGGGAAATTCCCACTTCCCCAGTACGAACGGGCTGCAGTAGAAGTAGTTGGTAAAAATGCAGAGAAATGGAGATTTTACACGGTGAATTTTAAGCATAATTTTGCAGGTGAAATAACCAACATGCATTATGGGAGATGTAGTTTATGGTCAGTGCTTTATATCAGCAAATTTAACAACATTAATACATGAATGTTGAGCCTTTTCAATATTTGCTGAAGACCCATCTCTTTTTTTTAGCTTTTTGATTAAGACCGAGTTGAGATTCAGTTAGAGCTGATGTCTTTTTCTAATAGTGTGTTTCTATATTTTTATTTTGTATTATTTGATATTTGATTTGATTTTGATTTATTTATTTAACAGGAAAAGATTACTAAAAATCAAGCCTGACTCAGCATAATTGCTGTTTTACAGCAGGTTCCTGTTCTGCAGCACATAAAACACTCAGAATTACAGCATCACAATCACATCATTATACACCATAGACACAAAGACAAACAAGCATACCAAATTTCAAAAAGGCAGCATTTGCAAAATAGGACGTCTAAATATGAGCACAACAAAAAGTGTCCAGCAGATGGCAGACAAGATTCTTCTTAAAGGGCTGTAGTTTTGAAATGGACTTTATGTTTTGAGGAATGCCATTCCATGCTTTAGTATAAACATAGAAGAAAGACCTCTGGCCGTAACAGTTTTTAAAAGTTGGTAATATCAGTTGATAAGTTTTGACCGAACTGTAAAGCACTTTGGTCAGTTTTTGTTGTTTTAATGTGGTATATAAATAAATTTGACAATGAAAATTCATATGTTAAACTTTGGCGGGCCACGTTAAAAGCTGTGGTGGGCCTCATTTGGCCTGTGGACCTCAAGTTTGACATGTGTGAGCTGGAGCAACAAAAACTCCTGATGGGTGCCGTTTCCCATTTTATTGTTGTTTAATAAACGATGACCTGATGGCATCTGTTGTGTGTTTTTGGACACTTTTAGTTGTTTGTGATTCACTGTGTTCTAATATATTTACTCAGAATTGACTTTTGAACAACTTGTTTTGCTACGACTGTTACAGAAAAAGAGGAAAATCGTGTAAAACTGATTAAACTAACAAAAAAGCTGAAACAAACTTGTCACGGAGCTCATCTTTTCCAGTGAACGTCGTTCGGATCACGTCTGATGCGCATTTCAGAAAATACTTGAAGCCTTTTCCCTCCGCGGCGGCTCAGGCTTRTCTGCGAAAATACGTGACGGGATAATTTGATAAAGCCGCATGCCTGTGCTCGGACTAACAGATAATAGCGGGGGCATTATGAGAATTAGGCCTCCTGGTTTTGTTGCAGGAAGGTGCAGAGGCGCAGCTAGCGTCTCCATTTCTGCCGGGAGCCCAAAGAGCGTCGGCGGCGCTAAAGCTCGGGGGCCACGCCGGCCACCCGACCCACTCCGTCACATCGGATTGGAGGATGGAGTTAATCTGAGAGACGGAGCGTCCCGTCGTGACAGACACTTGTCCGTGTAACAACTCTGCAGAGGAACAAAAACTCACACCACGCTCTCAGCAACACTCTGCTTCACTGTCGATCACCAAGACGCTCAGCAACACCGGCTGTCACCCGCACATGTAATATAAATGCAATCGCACTTTTCTCCCCCCCTCACTCCTCTGTGATGTGTATCAAGCATCTCCCAGGGCCAGACTGACACACAACTTGCTCGGTTTGTGAACGCGGCGCCGCACAGACAGTCAATAACAGAATGGGGCTCGAGATTAAAGCCTAAGCCCACCTTCTTTTCATGTGGCAGAGCAGCCGCTGCCCTGAGATCTGGCACCAGATGGCGCTGTGCCGGTCGCTGCCAGGAGATAATCGGGACAGATCGGGCCGCATTACTACCCATTATCTTCTAATTATTCTTGTGTGGAGCGCTGATCCTGCCGTTTGTGTAAGTGGATGGCACGGAGAGCCTGTCGCCCCCGGCATCCCGAAAATCCTCCTCGCTCCCCCTCAGGAGAGATCAGCCGGGGGTGGGAGGGGAGGGGAGAGGAGGACGAGGAGCAGGTGGGTAAGGCACCTGATAGACGGGGCGACGCCGCTTTGTGAAACCGAACGGTTGGGGCCAGCGCTGCGCCTGACCTCGGACTCATCCTCAAGCTGCAACTTTGACAAAAAAAAAGCCCAGAGCAGCGGCGGCGTGTTCCTGCTCTGATGACTCGATAAAAACACGACCCAGGCTACAGTTCAAGTCTCCCAGGCTTCGTTTGTACCATGCCTGTGCTGCTGAAACAACCCCCCCCCCCATCCTAGTCTACCCCAAAGGATAGAGCTAACTGCGCAGAGACATATGGCTTACCATGTGCTGGGTCCCACTTGCACTCTCTTAAGCGCGATTCTACCCAGAACATCTTCGCTTAATTATCAGCATTTTGTTCAGCATCCGCCTGTTTTGCATATTAATATCTGTCATGATATGGGGGGGGGGGGGAGTGATACAACCGTAAACAGACAGAGAGGCCTCGCTGAGCCACGACGATTCTGACGTGTGTTTTCAGAGACTCCTTGTCGTGTTCGCAAGGTGTCAGAATCCGGAGGCGAAGTGTGTGTGTGCGCGCTTGCGGACGCCCCGACATGTGATGAAACACGACGATCAATCTCTCCAGCCCACGGGCCGCACAGCGAGGGCATGTAGATGCAAATGAGGACAGCTAAATGCCACCGAGGGGAGGGGGGGGGGTTCACTTCGTCTGACAAACTGCGCAGGAATGGAGGGAATATATATTTTTTTACTTTTCCAAGAGAAAAATAACGACAGCGAGTTTAATTACTGAAGCCACGGCGAGGAGGTGTTGGTTTACCTTTAAGAAGTCCAGGTTGAAAAAAATGTTTCAGTGTGTGTGGCAGCAACACATAAAAGAGCCGTGATTAAAATGTAGGGAGAGGCTTCGGCTAACCCATTCTTCCTCCAGCCGGGGGTCGGGTCAACGGATCCTCCGAGGAGGGGCGGGGGGGTGCCACTCGGGCAAATCCCAAACATAAACACGGCAGAAGAAAGGCAGGGAAAAAAAGACGTCCATGGGAAGATGAACAGCCAGGGAGATCATGAAGAGAGCAGCTTTTAGATGTCTGAGAACCGTCCTCAAATCCTGACCCTTAACGCCGAACCTATCAACCCCAGGAGCCCCCCCCCTGGAGCCCCCCCTGGAGCCCCCCCTGTCCAACAATGAGGAGTCTATAAGCTGCTTCATTAACCAACAAAGAGGACAGATAACTAGCCTATATAGCTCTATTGGTGGCTTTTGAGTGACTCCCATAGAGGGCTTTTAGTTTACGTCAAGAAAAAGCCCCCCCTGCGTCCCCCCGCCAAGCCGAGGTGTGTTTTTCTTCTCACAACACGTATGATGCCGTCACATGTCGGCGCTGTCAAACACGCCATCCTCGATCTGCTTCTATCCACCTTTTGAGGGAAACAACATCAAGAGCAGCGAGACGAAGGGGAAGTTCCACATTAAAGCCGGGGGCCCGGGGCATCAACCCACTTCAGAGGGGCCCCGGCTCTGATCAAAGAGCGTGCAGCAGGTGAGAGATCACAGAGCACGTCCTGAAAGTGACGGTTCGGTCCCTGACTAGGTCGCTCGCTGGCAGACAAGAGGGTCCTGCAGAATCTGAGTCTAATCTTCATGTTTTTTTGTCTGGCTCTTCGGGTTTTTTTTTTAGATGGGAGCAGAACTTACTGTTCTGCATCAATGATGCCTGTCCAGATGTGCTATGCCAGAGCCACTAATGCACCCCCATACCATCAGAGAGGTGCTGCTAACAGGCTGGATGGTGCCTTTCCTCTTGTACAAAAGACAAGGTGTCCATGATTTGTAAACAAAATTTCTAGTTGTGGTCATGATCACTAACAGCTATTAGCAAAACTAATTCCTGTACATTAGCTTTTTTCCCTAACTTTGAAAACTGTTAGCATACCAATTAGCTTCTGCTAAATTAGGTTTTGCCAACTTTTAAGTCTGCTAACAGCTAACTCACAGACATGAATAGTTTGTGTCAGGTCCACTAGTATTCAGCTTGAAGAAGTTGTGGTTCAAGTTTATTTATATAGCGCCAAGTCACAACATACGCTGTCTCAGGGCACTGTACATAAAAAGAATAATCTAAAGCAGTGTTTCCCATAGTTGGGGTCGGGACCCAAAGTGGGAGCCTGAAACATCAAGGTGGGGTCCTGAAAAGATTTTCTGAATTAATTATATTTTTGCCTTAGTTGTTACAAAGGAGTGAGGTTAGTGTATTTAAAATGGATAAATGTAGTATAAAAATATTGTTACTATGCCCATGTTTTGTTGACCTGATACAAATGTTTATCATCCAAAAACAGTTGGGGGCACAGGTCTCTGCTATTGTTTTGTACTATTTTGTGGGTCAAAAGCTGAAAGGTTTGGGAACCACTGCACTTTGGTTCCCAAAGTTGGGCTTGGGACCCAATTATGGGTCATGAAGCACCTTGGATAATCTCCAGAAATCAATTTAAAGGGTAATAAAATAATGTAATATTTGATGTATATGATATTATATGATGTAATATTTTCCCTATAATTATTACAAAATCACAAAATAAGTAAAAATAAGTACTTATATTTGTGTATAAGCTGTTTAGATTGTCAAAAAGCCTGTGTTTTTAGGGTTATTAATGAAGTTCGTGTACTCAGACCAGTAATATTTGGGGTCACAAGTTTTTGCCATGGTGGGTCAGAAGACAAAAGGTTTGGGAACCACTGATCTAAAGAAGAAACCAGCAGATTGTGTTGAATCACTCCATCACAGTCTCCCATACTGAGCAAACGGTAGAGAGGAAAAACTCCCTGCTAATCAGGAAGAAACCTCCAGCAGAACCAGGCTCAGGACAGGAGACCATCTGCCTCGACCGGCTGGTTGAAGAAGAAGAAGACAAAGACGTGTGACGCAGACTGAGTGACAGACATCTTAGCGATTAGCTATTAGTGCTAGCTTCTGCTAAATTAGGTTTGCCAACTTTAATTTCTTCTTAGTGGTTAGCCATTATGTGTTAGTATTATCCTCCACAAATTTTTATTTGTTTAGCTGCTTTGGCCAGCTTCCGCTATTTATTTTTTTACATGTTCAGCATTAGCAAAGCTATATTTTAAGTTAGCAGATTTTGAGTTAGGGAAGCTAACTTTTTGGTTAGCTGTGCCCACCACAGATGGATCACATTGATACAGTATTAGCAGGATAGGATTGATGCTTTAGTTTGATTTTTTTTAGCGGTCTAGCTTTTTCACTAGCTTTGAAAACTATTAGCATTGTCTCAAAGGTTAGCAATCAACTGTTAATGTTAGCTTCCACTAATTTTTATTTGTTTAGCTTCTGCCAATTTGTATTTTTTTTTTTTACATCTTTAGCGGTTTAGCTTTAGTGAAGCAATGTTTTTATTTAGCAGATTTTGAGTTGTTAAAGCTAAGGCCGTCAAAGCTAAGCAAACAAAAATGGCCACAACTCAGTCAGTTTTGTAGTCGCTGACCTAAAATTTCATGTAATTGTAACTGAGATCTTGTGATTTTTTTTTGTAATGTAGAATAATTTCGTATCCCCATAAACTGAGTTTAGTTTAACGTAAAACACGGTGGGCGATGTGCATTCCTTCAAGGAATTCTGGGCCTTTTTCCCCCCGCTCTTTCGGTCTTTTTAACCCACCCTCCTCCTCCTCCTCCAAAACTCCCTCTTTCTCCGGGAGTCAACTTTATGAAAGAGTGTGAGTGAGTGAGCACTCTGGAGGCAGTCAATACCTTATCAACTCCTGCCGAACGCTGACACCCTGACGTCCTTGACAGCAAATTACTTTTTCATGACGCAACCAGGTGCAATTACAGCAACAACTTTGAGCTCAATCCTGCTGCTCCTGCAACTGTCAGAAAAAAAGGCGTTCCTGCTGGGATCCTGGAGGAGCTGAGACATCAGTCCCACAGTCCCTCCTAGATCTCTGCAAAGACAGACAGACAGACAGGAACAATGAGTGCAAAGGGAGAAACAGAAGAAGCCACTCTCAACATGCCCAAAGATTCGGTAAATAGCTGCATTCATGTGAGGAAAAATCCCCTTTTCTTTTTTTGTGTCTGGGAACAGTTTGTTTAGAGCGACTGACAGCGAGAAGGTGGCAGAGTTTTGTTGTTGTTGTTCGCCCGACGCCGCTGCTAGCAGCCCCGGTAAACAACCGTGTTTGTAATGTCATCACACGCTCCTCGCCTTTTCCCACTGTAAACCCTGTGGGCTTGATTATAAAGTTTAACCTGCACTTTATTGCACAACAACACGGAGGAAGAAGAAGAAGAAGAAGAAGAAAAAAAACCCACCCAGGTAAACCTCAATTAAGACTTCAGAGTGTCACTTTCTCCCCGTGGCGCAGCAGCAGAAGAAAGGCCTCACAAGCCGTGTGATGCCACCTCTGAGTGCAGGTGCCGGGTGCTGGTGGTGATGGCAGCGGTGGCTGGCGGTGGTGGGGGGGAGTTTTTGCCATCCTGGAGGYGGATGTTGCCTCATGTCTCTTTGAGCGTTTGGTGTGTCCCTCCGGTTGCCATCGAAGGGTGGCGGTGTTTGTGTGCATCATGGAGGAGGAGGAGGACAGAAAAGAGGAGCAGAACAAATCGAGGAGGTGCCACCCAGTCTCACCTTTCATCTCACCCCAATTTTCTTCCCTCCTCTATCTACTTTTTCTTAYATTTCAACAGATATAATTAGGGTTGTCTTGAAAATATGGCCTGGTTGACSAGGCAGCAAAATCCGATGCAATCAGTGGGCGTGGCAAACTGTAGCCCCACCCACTTTTACTAAAAATTCAAACAGTCCTGAAATGTTTTCAGTTTTTATTCTTTTCTGGTCATTAATAAAAAAAATTCATAGAAAAACCTTTTTACTTTTTACCAGTGTTGTCAATTATGAGCTGTCCAGTGGTTCATGAGCAAAATCGGATGCAATCAGGGCGTGGCAAGCTGTAGCTCCACCCACTTTTGCTAGAAATTTAAATAGTCCCAAAATGTCTTCCATATTTTTTCTTTTCTGGTCATTAATATAAAAAATACATTGAAAAATATTTTTATTTAATTTTTTTTAATAATGCTGTCAACCATGACCTGTCCAGTGGTTCAAAAGCAACATTTGATGCAATCAGAGGGTGTGGCAAGGTGTCGCCCCACCTACTTTTGCTAAAAAGTCAAATAGTTCCAATATGTCTTCCAATTTTTTTCTTTTCTGGCCTTTAATATAGAAAGACATAGAAAATCTTGTTCATTTTTTACTAAAGCTGTCAATTACAATCTGTCCAGTGGTTCATATGCAAAATCTGATGCAATCAGGGGGCGTGGCAAGGCGTAGTCCCGCCCAATTTTGCTAAAAATTAAAATAGTCCCGCAATGTTATCTTTTGTTTCTTTTCTGGCCTTTAATATGAAATAACATTTAAAAAATCTTGTTTATTTTCTTTACCAGTATTGTCAATTATGATCTGTCCAGTGGTTCATGAGCAAAATCTGATGCAATCAGCGGGGGCATGGTAAGGTGTAGTCC